CGCAGGGACTGCCAGGGGCGCCCGCGGGCCGGGATGGCCGAGTGAAGTAGCCTCACAGGAATGCAAATGACAGGAACGCTGGGACGAGGCTTCCTCCGGGCCTGGGCGACGCCTAAGACTACCTTTAACCTTTAATTACACCCGCGTCTTCCGTTTCCCTCCCTCCACTTTCCTAGTGGCTAGAAGCCTTGGCTAGAAGCCTTGGCTAGAAGCCTTGACCCGAGCTCACTGCACGGATCGCCGGTCACTGGTAGAGGCTCCCCAGGGGAGCGGTCCCTTTGGATGAGGAGTGGGTTTCAATCTGTGGAGGCAAGATCGAGCGCTGCGGACACCCAGGAAAGCGGAGGGAGCAGGAAGAGCTCCCAGCAGGAGGGGTCAGAGATCTGGGGTGAGGTTTCCGCCCTGCTGTTCTCAGCTGTGACCCCCAACAAACCTCTTCACCTTCGTCTGGGGCGGCGGTTATCTCATCCATGAGGTGGAGGAAGAGAAAACACTTGGAACAACTACTTTATTTTTATGTATTTGTTGCCATTTGTCAACATTTCTTAAATAGGCGGATTATTTAAATCTTATGTACAGGAATCCCTTTGCATAGCAATGGCGAGGACACAGGATGAGGGCAATGATGGGACCGGACCTCTTGTCCCAGTGGCAGGCGAATTCTCCGCAGGAGCCTCGGAGGAAGAAAGCATCGTTCTCGGCTCTGGAGGACCAGCCACTCTAAATGCCGAGTGCTAGTGATTTCACTGCACTGTCCAGTTTAATCCCCACAACAACCGATAAAATAAACATGAAAACTATTCCAATGTTACAGGCAAGGAGAATGGAGTTTAGAAAGGTTGGATGAGGTTGCCCACCGTTACACAGGTTATAGACACGGGTTATAAAAGTCCATCACTCTGAAACTCTAGTCTCTGCCTGCCACTTGATCCTGTGAATCACTGCACTATAAATGCTTCCACCAGAGTCTCTTTCACACGGGGATCCCATGTCCAAACAAGTATATAAGCATGTAGAGGAGGTGGGGAGGGAAGGAGTGTGAGATTGGGGATGGATGCCCAGGGCCTTCATTGTATTGGTAACATCTCACTCTTCACGCACATTCTACTTCTTCCCATTGCCTGGACATGGGAGCTCACAGGAGGAGGGAAATAAATAGTTGAAAAGGAAGAAAAGCAACTGGCCCTGAACTTGCCATGAGAGTATAATTGCTCCCTGAATAACAGCAATGGGCTGTCTCCCAACTCACACAGACCAGAATGGCCAGGGAAAGCTGTCCAGTGAGTGAGACAGCTAGTGGCTGCCTTTCACTAGTCCCATATCTTAGGAATCTCTCGTTGCTTTCTCTCAAGTGAGTTCTTTTGGGAATGTGGGAATAGCTTAGCCTTTGAAATCATGTTACCCTGTGGGCAAATTCTGGCTTCTCCCCTTACTAACATCTGTGTGACCTTGGAGAAATTTCTTAACCTCTCTATGCTTTAGATCTCTTACCTACACATTGGGGTTTTGCATCAGCCTACGCTCTCTTCCTCCTAGGAAGAGTTAACTTCTAGAAGCAGCACCGAGACTTCCTCATCCTGTCCAGGAGACAGTTCTGGTGGGGATCAGTTTACTCCTGAGGGTCCCAAACTAGGCCAGATAATCCCTGTGATGTCCCCTCAATCTTTCCAAGCCTCCATTTCATCATCTGTAATCTATTACTATTACATCTAAAATCAGAGAAAGATAAATATCACATGATCTCACTCATTTGTGGAATATAATGAACAACATAAACTGATGAACAAAAACAGATCCAGAGACAGAGAAGCATTGATCAGACCGTCAAACCTCAGAGGGAAGGTAGGGAAGGGTGGGGGAGAGGGGAAGAGATCAACCAAAGGACTTGTATGCATGCATATAAGCATAACCCATGGATGCAGACACCAGGAGGGTGAGGGCATGAGCAGGGGTGGTGGGGGTGGGGGTGGCAATGGGGGGAATAGGACACATATGTAATACCTTAATCAATAAAGAAAAATAAATAAATAAAATCAGGGGGTAATCACAGTACTTTTCCTTAGGGTGGTTATAAGGATTCATGTTTTCTAAATGTCCATAAAGTGCTTCTTAGCATTATTCCTGGTATATAAGTAAATACTCAAGGGAAATGGTACCTACTATAACCCTGGCTAGGTGGTTCAGTTGGTTGGAGCATTGTCCAGTACACCAAAAAGGTTATGAGTTTGATTCCTTTAGTGGCACTAAGGGAGGCAACTGATAGATGTTTCTCACATCAATGCTTCTCTCTCTCTCTCTCTCTCTCTCTCTCTCTCTCTCTCCCTCAAATCAATAAAAACATATCCTCAGGTTCAGGTTTAAAAAAGAAAAAAAAAGGTACCGACGATAAAATGACTCCTTCAAAGGAGATTCTCCCTCTTTTCAGAAACCAATGCATCAAGACCCAGCTGTTTTGACTGACATTTTCACTAGTATCTTATATGCTCTGAATCATCAAAGTTCCCAAGAGCCCTAGTCGGTTTGGCTCAGTGGATAGAGCGTTGGCCTGTAGACTGAAGGGTCCCAGGTTCAATTCCGATCAAGGGCATGTACCTTGGTTGCAGGCACTTCCCCAGTGGGGGGTGTGCAGGAGGCAGCTGATCGATGTTTCTCTCCAATCGATGTTTCTAATTCTCTATCCTTCTCCCTTCCTCTCTGTAAAAAATCAATAAAATATATATTTTTTAAAAAAGTTCCCAAGAAAATACTTTTTTTGAGCAATGCTATGAGTTAATTACCTCAAGAATGACTATAACCCAGCAGCCTGACCAGATGAACTACATCCATTTGAGTTAGTTTGCAGGTGTTTTCCTGTGACTTTGGGACTACAGAATTATTCTTTAGATGTTGATGACTCCTTTGCCCTGATGGGCTTGGGATTTTGTATGCCTCTGTTGAACTGAGCAGCAAAATAACCCCAGGCAATTCCAGATAGCCCGCTTCCAGGACTGGGAGCTTTGTGAAGTTCCCCACACTCCACAATTCTAAGGAAAATAAAGTACGACCTGGGGTAGGCCAGACACTGAGGGAAAAGTCATTTCACTCCATCAATTCTGCAATCATTTCGCAAACTCTTTTGGAGAAACAAAGATATGGTCTGTGCACTCTTGAGTCCTCGTCAAATATAGATGGAGAAAAAGTTACATTTGTTCACTCATCCGTTCGTTGAACAACACTCTGGACAAGGTTAGCGATGACCTTTACATGGTAAATACCTTGGTCCATTCTCAGTCTTCATGTAACTAAAATGGATTGTAGAATTTGACACAACTGAACTCTCCTTGAATGCCATGTTCACATGGCTTCCTGGGCCATTCTTGATTCTCCTTTTAACCTCACTGGCAACTCAGAAGGGGTTCTTTTCTGATTCTTACTCACCTTCCTGAATTCTACACTCTGGAGTGCCCCTGGGTTTGTCCTTGAACCTCTTTTCTTTTTAAAGTACATTCATCTCCTGTGATTTTAAATAAATCTGTATGCTGACAACTCCCAAGTTTGTATTTTTAGCCCATATTTCTCCATTCCAGACATATAGCATATTCATCTACTACTCAACCTCTCTACTTGGCCATGACCATAAGCATATCAAGCATAAGTCCAAAACTAAATTTCTGATCCACACCACTCCTCTCATAGCCTTCTCATCCCCTTAATTGCAACTTAATTCTTTTAGTTACTCAAATAAAAAATCATGGAGTTGCCCTAACCGGTTTGGTTCAGTGGATAGAGCGGAGCATTAGCCTGCAGACTGAAGGGTCCCAGGTTCAATTCCGGTCAAGGGCATGTACCTTGGTTTCGGGCATATCCCCAGTAGGGGGTGTGCAGGAGGCAGCTGATCAATGTTTCTCCATCATTGATGTTTCTAACATCAATGTTTTTAACTTTCTATCCTTCTCCCTTCTTCTCTGTAAAAAAATCAATAAAATAGGATGGGGACACATTTGTAATACCTTAACCAATAAAGAAATTAAAGATAAAAAAAATCAATAAAATATAACTTAAAAAAAATCATGGAGTTATCCTTGACTTATATTCCACATCTGATTCAGCAGCAAATCCTACCTTAAAAATATATTCCAAATACTACCTTGGTCCAAGTTACTATCATCTTATGCCTAGATTATTTAGGCTTGTAACTTGTCATCCTCATTTTGCCCAAAATGAAACCCTTAGACGGTCTTCTCTCAACATAGAGGTCAGAGTGAACCTGTGCATTAGATCATTTCCTTCTTTAGAATGCTGAAGTAGCTCCCCACTTCCCTCTCAGTTCAAACCAAATTCTATCAAAGGTTTATACAACCTGTACTTCTTCCCCACACACACGCACATACAGACACTCACCTCCTTGACTCATCTCCCCTATTACCCTCACTCATTCTGCTCCAGCCATACACACCCCTTGCCATTTCTTTGCCCTTGATCTCCTTTGCCTGGACTGTTTTTCCCTCAAATTCCTGCAAAGCTTCAGTCCTCATTTCCTTCAAGTACTTGTTAAAATGCTATCTCCTCAGTGGGGCCTCCTAATTATGATTTAAAATCATCCTCCCATCCTCCCTATATGCTTTATTTTCCTCTATAGCATGTGTCACCAGAATTGATATCTTACATGTATGTAAGCATGTATGTATGCATGTATGTATGTATTTATGTATGTATTTATTTATTATCTAGTTCCCCCACTGCAATGGGAGCTCCAGAAGAACAGAGGGTTTTTTTTTTATTTGATTGTTTATTTGTTTTAGTTTGTAGCATTTTCAAAAGGATTGATG